GCGCTTGTAAATGTGACGTGACAGATCATGGTCATAAACAGTACACCTCTTACTCTTTACTAGCTAATAGTAAATAAACACGATATAACAATATGTGTGTTGAAGATACAGTACAACTTACTGAAATGTTTATGCCTCGTACATAATATCGATCAATCAGTGTTTTCAACTATTTTTCAACAATGTCACATAACGTTACATTTACATCAGGAAAGCCATTTAATAGCACATTGGGCTAGACAAATTATACACTGACCAATATATCAACGCAACACTTTTGGTTTTTGCTCCCATTTTTCATGAGCTGAACTCAAAGATCGAAGACTTTTTCTATGTACACAAAAGGCCTATTTCTCTCAAAAGCCGTGTTCCACCGCAGGAACTTTCCCAGGAACTAGGAACTTTGGGGTGGTACTCGGTGTGTTTACACCGCAGGAACAAGGGTCTAACGGTCCCAGAACGTCCCTGCTGGCGAGGTAGTACTTTTTCAGAGTTCGGGGTGGGGACTTGTGAGCTGAACATGCTGATTGGTTCTTACCACTTGTTCTTTCTGCCAGATGGCACGCGTTGTCCATCCATCTCATGGTCAATGTCGCTGATAACAAACGTCTACTTTTATATCTAGCATTACAAGCTTTCTAAATATGCTTTGGGACGGTACTTAGTCCGCGGTGTAAATGCAGTAAGCAAGCGGTCTGGGGCAAAAAAAGTTCCTATGAAAAAGTTCCTGGGACAAATACTTCCTGGTAATTACAGTGGAAACGTGGCTAAATTTGTTCACAAATCGGTCTAAATCAGTGGTAGTGAGCACTTCTCCTTTGCCGGGATAATCCACCCACTCACAGGTGTGGCATATCAAGATGCCACTCTAAATCTTGAACTAGATCTAGATCTTGAATACAATAAGTAACTATCAAATTGCGCTGTTTCATGAAAACTGTCAGGTCATTTTGAGGGCTTTCAGACTTTGAAAATGCATTTTTAACACGCATGTGATGTGGCTTCCTATATGACCCAATGATATAGATCTTCCCAGACTCCCATGAAAGGTTTCCCAAGCTTTCCAAACGCTTGCCGTCCATCGTGGTTGAGCCCACTGAGAGCGGGGAGGTAGAGAGCGGGGAACTCCGCTGGCCACCTGATGATCTGAGCCCTACAGATGACCCAGAGACAAACAGGCACAGGCTGCAAGTAAGCTCATATAAAGCATGAAAAGAACAATTTATTAAGTTTACTTTCGTAACTTTGTTCTCATAATAGTACAATTTAATATCATATTTTTTTTTTCTTTCTTAAGCTTCAATCTCAATTTCTTACACTTACACTGTTACACACCTTGGGTCATTAGCGACCCACCCTATATATCTTTTCTTGTTATATTGTATAAGTATATATACATTTTATATATATAAGTTTATTTTTATATAAAATAGATATTATTATAAATATAATTAACCCTATGTTTTGTTTTCTTGTTCCATTGTTTATAATGAATTGATTGAGGAATACTAAGAAGGTTGATGTCTAACTTTAAAAAAAATAAATGAGGAGGTGTGAATGACATACATGCATATGCGTATAAGGGTTAACATGCCACTAAAACATTATTATACTATGTAATATTAATACTCTATATACCATCCAAAGGTTTGGGGTTGGTTTGATTAAAATAGAATAAAAAGTGTGAAATATTTTCAAATAAATAAAATAGATAAAAATAGATTCCTGTGCTGGCAAAGCTTAATTTTTAGCATAATTACTCCAGTCTTCAGTGTCTTATGATCCTTCCGCATGTTGATTTGATGCTCAAGAAACATTTCTTATTATTATCATCAATGTTGAAAACAGTTTTTGCTTAATATTTTTGTGGAAACTGTGATAAGTTTTTTTTTCAAAAGATTTTCAGAAGAACAGCATTTATTTGTAACATTTAAATGTATTTACATTTTTGATCAATTTAATGTATTTGCTGAGTAAAAGTATCAATTTCTTCCATAAAAATCTCACTGACCCCAAACATTAAAAGAGCAGTCCAAGTTAAAACAATTTTTTTAAATTATATATTTTAATTGCAGTTTGACACATTTTGAAATGCATAAATGTGGGAATTCGA